AATGCTCTATGATTAGACAAACATTCCTCCCTAAAATAACAAATCTGTTCCCAGAATTTTCATACCTTCCAGAAGCTGAAAAGCTTCCAACCCTACTCAGAGAGGACGGAGGGAATTCAATAGAGCTGGCAGCCCAGTATGTGATCTTCTGTTACAACCTGAGGAAAATGTAAATGTTAATGTAATGGAAAGTTAGTCTGTGTCTCAATAATGTTTTATTTGTTGTACTGTATGTTGTACATAAATATCCAATGAGTTGTTTGTATTGTATCTGTAGATGTTGTATTGATTGTAAATGCTTTGGCAAAACATTGGTCAGGCCAATAAAGCTGTTTGAATTTGAATTTCCCCCAAGTGGAAATTGGTTTTGCATCAGCAAACAAAAACACATATACAAGAGAATCATCTTTTGAGCGAGATTATGGACACAGGTATAAATGAGATTTAAGAACATTTATTTATAGATTGGGGAATCTGTATCTGGATTCTGAGGGGAGTAGTTGATATTTATTAAACAAAGGGTGTGAAGTGACCTATATTTTTCTAGCATTTCCATCCATTATCCCCAGACTCAGGTTTGAGTGGGGGTCTAAGGGTTCTTCCTTAAATCAGTTGCCATGTCTGGTTTTAGAGACATTCAACCTCAGAGTTGATCACACCAAGTGGCAAACTCACCTACAACCGACTACACTCATCCATTTGCAGCAAACTAACAAGAACAGTGTCATCTGCAGCAAACTAACAAGAACAGTGTCATCTGCAATCGTTTACCCCCAACAGAATCTGGACTCTCCCTCTCTTTAACATGACTGAACAATTTACAATATTTTAAAGTGATTAATGTTAACAGCACAAAGATCCCATCTCTAAAAACATTGAGTTCACTTGTAAAATCATGTACGTCAAACCGAAAATAAAATTGATTGAATTCATCAGCAAAGTCAGGATCTGTTTGATGGGTTGTGCGGGCAAACATCCATAAAGCTTTACTGCATCAAGAACTGATGGCCAACCATCGCTGAAGAGTTGCCCCACCTCTGAGGCCAGGACATCAAATGTGGCTCTCCATGTGAGACCTTCATCACTGGCTTCCCTCCCAGAAGCATTATTGGCACAAACAAGATCCCTGAACGTGTGAACACTGTCACAATTCCCCAGTCCCTGGGGACATGGAAATCATCAGTGTTCTACATATCATCTATACGTTTTTCGTTTATCATTGTTACAGCTCACACTGGCAACCTAGGAACCACTGGCCTCAGTCCCTCCAGCACCACCTGTCAAGACCTCCGCAGAGCTCATGCCCTGCTGCATCCTAGACTCCCGTCGCGTCCAATCCAGCCTTCAGTAGGTGCTCCACTGGCAGGGAAGAGGACCCGAAGAACGGAGGTGGGTTCCAGCCTGGGAGCTCAATTACACCCAGATGGTCTGTGCCTACCATGAATGCCATCCATCATGAGCTTGGGCGGCTTCCAGAGTATGCCTGTAAAGAGGGGGGGCACTCTCATACCTGTTACCCTGGTGATCAGCTCTGTACTGACCACAGAATACCATTCTTTTTCCGACACCAGTCTAGGGGTGAAACCTGTCTGCCTAATTTCCTGGGCATCCTGGCTCCAGTCAGTCCAACATTAACTAGCTTGTCTACCTGCACTTCTTCTTCCTTGGCTCTCCGCAGTTCTCCATGAAGTTGCCTGAAGCCTGGATCCTGATTTCCAGCCTGTTAGACCGCCGGCGGCACTGCACTGCAGCTACCCACAATGAAACAAATGTACCTTACAGGGTTGCTACAGTAGATTCTGCCCAGGACTGATTGAGGACACCTGTGTCTTCTTTTTTTTTAACGTTTATTATGTTGTTCAAACATAATGGGAACATAACAAATAACAAAAAATGCACAAACAATATAAAGCAAGGGAGCTCAGAGGGAACAAAGGGAGGAGACGAATCCAAGAAACAAAATGACATGTCTGAACAGGCTGACACAGTTTTTACAAAAGCATTCCATTAGAGAAGTTTCTCCAAATGAATGCAGCCATGTACATCTTAATCTCCATACAAATACACAAAGTGTGTTGTTTAGTTGCCATTAAGCCTGCATAAGACTATGCCCGAAAATTGCCATTCAACCTCTGACATCCTATCTTTTCAAAAGTCTTGCCTTTTCCCAGGTTGCTGTCAGCCCAAAAATGCATCCCAAAACACATCAGTCAAATACAACCACAAGCATTCTATTGTAGGACACTCCCAATACATGTTTAATTAGGTATCAATCACAGGCTGAGTGCATCTGTGAAAGAAAGGGTTGGGAACAAATTTCATTTGGTACTGTTGTTATAGCATTACGTACATTCAGTTTTAAATAGATCAGCTGGTGTGCTACATTTTTAAAGGCAGAAAAATTGTCTTAGATAGCATCCCATTGAGACTATTATCAGGCTTCTTTTCTACATAAATATTAGTGGTAGGACCAATTATAGATTAGAGAATAAGTTGTACAAAGAGGAAATCACCCTAATAATGAAATTCAGTCACTGGATAAGAGAAATCTTTCTGTTTCTACGTAAATGTCCTTCACCAAAATCTCAAAAGCTGTTTGTATCATGTTAAAAACATATTCTGACTATTTAATTTTCATCAGCGACAGAACCTGCACCCACTATACTTGACGAAACTCCAAAACAACCAAACAAATAAAATACAGAGCAGGACTGTGTGAGTACTTTTCAAAAAGTACATGACAAAGCAATTTAAAAGGACATAAATGTGAAGTGTAATTAGAAATCCCTGTGGGTGGTTAATACAAAACAGCTTACAACATTAAATTCCTAATACAGAGCAGAATTCAGTCACTTGGATTTGCAATCATTGAACCCACTTCTGAAGTGGAAGATAAACTCCCTCAGGAGAAAAAAGATCTATTTGAGATTAAACTAAATTTAGATTTAAGCTTAGTTATTAAATGTGACCCATGCCTTGTCCCATGTGCTGTATACTGTAAATTACAGCATCAAAGCAACTTTCATATTCCAATTGGTCAGTCTTTTACATTGTACCCAACTAGCCCCTGCACAGCATACACATATTGTAAGCATTCATAGTAACTTTTACTGTTAGTATAGAATGAATTATAATAATATGGGTTTAGAGTGTTTGGCCATGCTGGTTGCTATGGAAGTGTCCTTATAGTTCATTTAAAAACTAATATAATTTTAAAGCTGTTTTAAATTCAAAGATTTAAAATATGATTTCCTATTCATTTGCTCTTCTCTACATAAAATAAAGCTTTATAATAAAGTTTAATAATGTTTAGTGCACAGTGGCACAGAGTTTAGAGAATCTTATGTAGTGCCCATCCATAAGAAGGGTGATAAAATTGACCCAAGTAATTATAGACCACTAAGTCAGACTATTATGGTAAAATTACGGAAGCAATTATTTTAATTATATGAAAGGATCCTCACATGTAGGTTAATTGTCAGCATGGATTGAGAAAAGGTCTTGACTATGCGACTTGTTAGAGTTCTTTGCACAAGCAACAGTAGTAATGGACTCATATGATATGATGGATGTACAGTAGTTTCAATTTTAGAATTGTACAGAAAGTGCAGACATGAATAATTAGATTGGGGCGATATACTGTAATTAGCGGAGAACCTCAGGGATCTGTACAAGGACTACGGATCTTTTTAATTTATATGAAAGACCTTGATTCTGGTATAGTTAGTAAACTAATGTTTTTTGTAGATCACAGCAAAATCAGAGAGCAAATGCTGTAGAAGCAGCAGATTTAGATTGAATTGAAGGCTGGGTAAACACTTTGCAGATGACATTTAAAACAAGCAAGTCAAGGGTCTGCATGTAGGCAGTAATAACATAAACTATAAATAAAATATAGGAAGTAATGAGCTTTTTCACTAATAATGAAAAAAACCTTGGGTGCTTATATGTCATTTACATCTTTCAGACAATATGGGAAATCAAAAAAAGACAAACAAAATGTTCAGTTGTATAGTCATAAGTGGAACTTAAAGGGATATCTTTCACCGACAGACTGAAAGAACTGAACCTTTATAGTCTTGAACAGAACTACAGTATGATATTAGAGCCCATTTACAAGGTTTTGATTTGTAATTACTTTTCAGAATGTTTAAACTTTTGTTTTCACTTGGAGGTTGTGTGTTACAGATGGTGATGCAGTGGTTAGTATAACTGTCAAAACAGCACTGGGGCCCAAGGTTCAATTCTGGACTTGGAGTGCTGTCTCTGTGGAGTTTGTATGTTCTCCCTGTGTGTGCATGGGTTTCCTCTAGCTGTTCTGGTTTCCTCCCGCAGTCTGAAGACACACTGGTAGGCTACTTAGTTCATGGAAAAATTGGCCCTGGTGTGAGTAAAGTATGTGTTTGTGTCTGTGTGCCCTGTGATAGATTGGAGTCCTTCCTTGAATTGGAAGAAGCAGTTAGAAAATGGATGGATATAAATAAAGACAGGAAAAATAAATTCTTATTTAATTGATTATGTGTGTTGATTATGAAAGCATTTTGCTTTGGAAAGGGTGTGTTGACTTACAAGCAATGTATCCTGTTGTGTGATAACTGTCATTGTTTACGTTTAATAAGATAATTATACTTGAATTTCCTTGGAAAAGACTTAATAATATATTTTTCTCCACTGCTCTGTCATCTGTGAGTTTGATAGATATGTTTAAGGTAAGTAAATTAAAAATAAAAATACCCTTGGAAACTCATATGGGAAACTGCAATCAATCAAATCTACATAAACCAAACATACACTTGCCTATGCAATAACTGAGGCATAACATTTTTTTTCTGTCTACCAGAGGAATAAGCTTTCACATTACACAGGATTTCAAACCTATAATAGAGATTACTTTTCAAACAACACAGGCCTGCCGCAGTCACTAGGATGTGAGGCCGCAAGGACTCCTCAAGAATTTCTAGGCAACAGAGAAAAATGAAATAAAAATAACTTTATTTTTTAACAAGAATTTTCTTGTTAGGGAAACTTTGGGCACACGTGCCTGGTAAGTGAGGGATAAGTTTAAAGAGGTTTGATTTGGTGTCTTCTGCTCCACTACAGATAAAACATTATACAGTATACTGTATGAATCAAGTGATGTACTACCAGTTTTTAAGTATTGAACTTTGTATGCTATTATTGTATACCTTTGTTAATGTGGGTATTATGGACTCCAATCAAAATGCTTTTGATTTCATCCAAATGCTGGATTCATCTAAATGTTCCAACATGCTTTACTGTTCGTTTAATATGTTTTATTAAATCTACAGTATAATAGTGAAGCTATTCAGTTGCACAGTATACAAACTAGAACATTCCACAAATGACCTTGTTACTGATTCTAGTTTGCTTGTTGAATTATTGAGAATAAAACACATATCAAGAAGACATCATATATTATATGTTTTATTGATTATGTGAAATATCCACATGGCATGATATATATGAGCTATAAATATGGAATGTGTAACTGCCTGGCAGAAGAGCTGATTTGCATTTGCTAGACCCCATGGTAAACAGTGCATGCCTCTTGACACAGAAGTAACACCACCATGTAAAAATGTGTAAAAAACTGACTGTGTCTTAATTTCAGAGTAAACAAACTTAGCAAAGATTATTTGACTTAAAAAATGTTGTCATGTCCTGACACTTACTTAGAAGCTAATATAAAAAGATCTTCTAAGGACATGGAGAGTAATAAATCATCCCCCAGTGTCATTCTGAACACACTCTCAAAAAAAAACATTTTTGAAATACTATATCATATAAATTCTTGCTCTGCCATATGTAAGGCTTTCAAAAATAACGTTCGCCACCATCTGTGAAGATAGAAAAATGAATCAATTACTGCCGTCAGAGTCGCTTTTGGACATCCTGTCTTCTGCTGGGTGCTGGGTGTGTTTCTTCTGAGACGGGATAGCAGGAAGAACACGGATAGTCCGCAAGGAGTCCCCCGACAGGACAGGCAGAAAAGAGCACAGCGATTGACTCTGAGGGACCCCGCCTCTATTCGACTTGGAGGTAACAGCAGGAGGCAGAGCAGACACAGTGCCGCAGAGGGAATGGAGAGGCAAGGACTTTGATTTCTTCACTCCCTGAGAAACCTGGTCAGGCAGTAAGGTGACTGTGGGAGGAGAAGCACACAGTGAGACTTTAACAGCCTATAACATAAAATATTTCACCTCAAGACTGTAATAATAATATAATGAACTTTATTTTATATAGTGCCTTTAAAGGTGGCTTCTCAAAGCGCTTTACAGGATGACAATAACAATAAATAAGAAGAGTATAACAATAAATAAGGAGAATACACAAGATAAGACACAATTACAATATATAGAGGAGACCATGGATGGTGGTACTAAGAAGAGCAGAGGGCTGAAGAATGGGACCAGTTAAGTAAAGGCTTTTCTAAAGAAGAGGGTTTTGAGTCTGGATTTGAAGGAGTTTAGAGAAGGTGACTCTCTGATATCCTTGGGCAAAGAGTTCCAGAGCTTGATGGCATAACAAGAGAAGGCCCTGTCACCCATACAATGTAGACAGGTTTGGGGGACAGTAAGGACGGCAGAATTTGAAGAGCGGAGGTTGCGAGGTGGGGAGTAGGGCGATAATAGTTCAGACAGGTACTGAGGTGCCAAGCCATTCAGAGCCTTATAGGTGAGCATGAGGATTTTAAAGTCTACATGGAATTTGACCAGAAGCCAGTGCAGGGACTCCAGGACAGGAGTGATGTGAACAC